GAACAATAAAATGAAATAACAATTATGTTTTGGTGAAGAAGGAATAAAAAGGATTGGGGGGAGGAATGCAAAAGGATCCTAGCTTATTAATCAACATTGCATGTGAACAATACCATGAGTGGCTATCAATTGGAGCAACAAAACATGAAGTGGAAAGTAGTAATAATTCTCCTCGGTCTAAACATAATGTTACATGGGAAAAGCGAGTTTTTAAAATGTAATGTAGATGCAACTTATTTTGCAGATATTGGAGCCTATGACATTGGCATTGGTTTTCTAGATTGGAATGGAATTTTTATCAAGGAAAAAATAATATCTCATCAAGGAAAACTTTCGATTCATGAAGCAGAAACAATTGGCTTATTGGAAGCTATTAAATGGCTTAAAGAGGAGCAATACAAAAATATCATCTTGGAGTTGGATTACAAGCATGTTGTTGATAGTATCATGTCAAACATTAAAAATATTACCAAGTTTGGTTTTATCCTCCAAAAGTGTAAACAAAAAATAAGTTTTTTTTTCAATACAATGTAGTTGGTTTCACTAGGAGACAAGTTAATCATGTTACTCATATCCTTACTAGAACATCAAGATTTTTTGTTAGCCATCGTGTTTTATATTTGATTTCTACTTGTAATGAGAATTTCATTTTTAATGAAATGATATAAATAATTTTGTAAAAAAAAACTATGAATCAACAACTTTTACAATATGCCACGTGTTATGCAATAATTATTCATACCATTATTTTGAATGTGTAAATATTTTTTTTTTAAGTTGTCTAATGATTTGGGAAAGAGATATAGAGTTGGAGTGATAAAAAAGAAAGTATGTTCGAATATTTTACTAATATAACAATTAACTATTAACATTTGTATATAAAAAAATTATGAGTCATATTTGTTGATATCATGTTGTAAAATTAATGAAACGACACATTTAAAAATTTATAATTTTTGTAGAATATAAATTCATCTGATCTAACAATTATATTTAATAATATTACTTATTAAATCAAGTATACAAAATTGATTATAATTACAAAATCATTTAATAGTTCATCATATCACTTTATTTTAACATAGAAAATGACATTCAAAGTTCATATAAATATCCATTGCTAGATAACATATCTAGAAGAATTCAAATCATTTGAATTTTGATATATCTTTCGATATGCTTAAAAGTCCAACATCGCTTAAGAATCGAGACTAATGGTAGTTTATAAACACTCTCCCTCCTTAACCCAATGAGACATCTTTTCAAGGACAAAATAACAATAGTTCAACGAGTGTTAGAGCAGAGAATACCTTGCACGCAATGACCTTAATGATTTCTACAAACTTACAATTGAAACATTGACACTAGAAGGAGGAGGGCCCAGGCCTCTCTTGCCCTTTAGCCTCAATTGAGGCTTGTTCCGATATGCTTAAAAGTCTCACATTGCTTAGGAATCGAGACTAAATATAGTTTATAAACATCCTTCCCCCTTAACCCATTGGGATATTTTTTCAAGGATAAAATCTTGATGGCCTAATGTGTGTCAAAGAGGACAATACCTTAGATGCGTTGACTTTAACGAGGCCAGCAAATTTACAGTCAGAACACTGGTGAAAGTTTAAAGATAGTCTTAATTTCAGGAAGAAAGGTAGATCTCAAGGATATAATGGTAAGAAAATTTGGTGCACACATTCATCGCACAAATCTCACACCACAATGTAGATATGGTTTATAACTTAAGAGGGAGGGTGAATTAAGTTTTCCAAATTTTCCTCTTATAAAATTTTTCTGAATTACTTTCTTACAAATTCAATTCCTTAGATAAATTTATATGTAAACAATTAATTAAAAGTGTAGGGAAAGAAGAATTGCAAACTTAATTTTATACTAGTTCGACTAATCTTGCCTACGTCCAGTCCTCAAGTCTCCCACTTGAGATTTCCACTATTCTTGTAAACTTTACAAGACTTGAATCCTCCAACACCTCAGAACTCCCTTTCCTTGTGTTGAGATTCAAAAACCAACAAGGGGAAAAATCCTTTCTCCTTCAAAGATCCAATGATCAATTTGGAATTACAGAATAACTCTCTTTTAAGAGTTTTTTTTTATCTTAATGAACTCTTTAGAATAATGCAAATAAATTTGGTCAAGATGTTTTTATATATGAATTTTTCACAATAAAGTTCGTCACCTTCTTCTGAAAAATTATAGGTATTTATATACAATTATTTCTTAGGTTATGTCTTTTCATGAAGAGTTGTAACTCTTTATAATTTTTCAGAAAAGATGCTTTGGTAAGCGATTACAAGACTTGGTAATCGATTACAACAGTTTTAAGTTCAAAAAATTTGAAACGTTGTATCTTTTAAATTCAAATTTCTGAAGTTTTCTCTTCTGGTAATCGATTACAAGGTCTGGTAATTGATTACCAGAACACATTTTGTATTTAGAATTTGAACTTTGAAGTTTCCATGTTATGGTAATGGATTACAAGGTCTGGTAATGGATTACCAGAACATATTTTTGCATTGTTTCAAAAGCTTTTATGTAGAAAACTTCATATCAATAATTTCTTTCACAAATCTCTTTTAAGAAATGATTTGAACTATTCTTTAAAGTTTTTGTTAAGTCTTTCAAAAACATTTTTACTTACTTTCAAAAAATTTAAAACTTGCTTAAACTTAAAGAGATTATAATTTGAGATTTTTGAAAACTTATTCTCAAGGTCAAACATACTTGCAATTCTAAAAGATTCTTTTACATTCTTAGCTAAGTTGACAAGACTTATCTATGTAACACTTGAGATCTTGTTCTTGCATCAACTTGCTTTAGCTCAACCTTAATTCTTCTTCAATGCTTTATAATCACTTTGGCATCATCAAAACATTTGTGTATATTTTCTTCCACAACCATGTACTGCATGAAATTTGAGAACAATTGGAAACAAGAAAACAACATGAAAATGATATGGTGATTTTAAGAGCCCTATATGAAGAAGACATGCAAAATTTGAGAAAGGAAAATCAAGAATTCCATACAAGATTACCCACACAAAGTCATTTGCAGCAAGGTTCAATACACATGGAGGTTCCCCTTAATTACGAACAACCACATGTATTTGTTCATGGTTACTTTAATGAAGAAGCTAATTTTCAACTAGAAAATCATGTTCAATCTATCTCAAGGGTACCACAACATTGTGAAACCCGCCGTCATCTATTTGTTGGTGGAATTATGAAGTCACCTTTACCCTTGGGATGGAAGCCTTTGAATTTGGAGCGTATGATCTTGATGAACATATTAATACTTATACTTCCCAAATAAATTTATTTACTAATGATGATGCTATTTTAGGTAGGATTTTTCCTACTTCTTTGAAGGGTGCAACGCTTAGTTGGTATATACAACTACCTCGAAGATCAATTAATTCATTCCAAATCATTGTTCAAAGGTTTTGTTCTCAATATGCAACAAGTTGACCTCATCACGCAATGTCAGTAACCTTGGTGAATCTAAGGTAGGCCAATGGTGAACCTTTACAAGATTTCATGGAACAATTTGTAATGGCTTTAGTTAAAATAAGAAATTTCAATCTATTGGTAGCCTTACTTTCGATGCTAATGGTATTAAGATTTAGTCCATTTGTAGACAATTTATGTCGTAAGCAACCTCGAGATGTGCATGAATTACATGCTCGAGCGGATGGATACATTCAAATGGAAGAGCTTTTTGTGTTCCACAATCAAGCTTGGAATCAAGGTGATAGATAGGTAAATGAAAGAAGAACGAAGCAAAATGATAATGCAAATACGAATTTGGGTGATACTAGAATTGGAGGAGTCATCAACATTATTGTTGGAGGTTTTATAGGAAGTAGAGCCAATAAGTCAAAAAGGAAATGACATATGTGGTTAATCTATGATGTCAACCTAACTAATTAGGGGGAAAAGAAAGCATCATCACCCCTTATTACTTCCTCAAACACATACTTTGCTAGATTGTATCCTAATTAATCAAGATGATCTAGTAGTAATTACAATGGTTGTTGCTAATTTTAAAGTGAAGAAGACGCTTATTGATCAAGGATGTTCGACAAATGTGCTCTATTGGTCAACTTTTAAACAATTGGATATTCCAAGTAGTGTCATACAAGCTTACGATGAATTGCTCTTAGGTTTCACGAGAAAGAAGGTGAATACCTGATGTTATGTTTAACTATTGACAACTTTTGGGATAGGAAGTGAAACAAAGAGTGTGATGGTTAAATACTAGCTAGTTTATGTAGTTACATCCAACAATATTTTGATCGGGAGACTAACTTTGAATGCTTTGGGAGTGGTGGTGTCTGCTCCACATTTGTTTATGAAATTTCCAATTTCAGAATAGGAGGTGGTTACAATTTGTGTGGATCAAAAAGTGGCTAGAAAGTGTTATGTTAAGAGTCTAAAAAAAGTCTCAATTTTAGGAAGAAAAATATATCTCAAGGATGTCATCTTGAGAAGATCGGGGATTCACATACTCAAATCTTACAACATTTTGATAAGAACACTACATGATCATGAATATAATATCATCAAATATAACATTTTAATTAATCAAATATTTTTTCTTTAAAAATTTATTTAAAATATCATTTCACTAATTTGATACTATCATATAAAAAATCTATCCCATTTATAATATCAAAGAATCTGACGTATTTATAATTATTTAATATGTAAGTAAAAAAATCCCAAAGGGAGGGAAACTAATTTTAATGAATTTTATAAAATAAATAAGACAATAAAATTTTCAATATAAAACTAAAAATTAAAAGCGATCATAAAAAAAAATATTTTTATATTTTTTTTATACAATATTATATCGATCGTAGAAATATAATTTTTTTTTAATATTTTGATGTGATGATTGTGTATTAATTAATTAATTAATTAGTTGGCACATCTTACGAGATACCCCTTGAGAAGGGATTATCCAAATCAGTGATTTAAAAACGTGAAAACTAAGCGAAACCATTTCACCAGATAACGCGTCTCAGTCTCGCAAATGGGTGGCGGAGGAGTTATGAGGGCGGCGGCCAAGGTCACCGGCATCTCCAAGTCGGTGATCAGGGCCACCTCGCCGGTGCGTTCGGCCTCGCAGTCCACTCGCTACGCTTCGCCGGTCCGCACGCCGTCGCTATCGGCGGGGCCGGTATCCGCCGAGGTTGCGCCGTCGCACGAGGCGGTGGCATGGGACGACTGGGACTTCGCCGACGACGGCGAGTTGGACGTGCCGAGGGTGGTCGTCACTTCTCTTCCCACTTTCGAGGAAGCTAAGGAGGCCACCACGGAATTGAAGGACGCTATTGATCAGTATATAGAATATCTATCTATTTTGTTTAATTTGATTTTATGAATTTCTGGTTTTAGGGTTTAGTTTTGAAGCCTGTGTTTGGTTTTGCTGTTTTACTGTGCTGGCTTATTTTAAAGGTTTAATTTTTGTGTTGTTCTTGTGGGGTTATTTTAGGGTTTAGTTGGGTCTGGTACTCTGTTGACTGGCACATGGTTAGTGAAGATGAAAGTTTTGATTTTTTCACGCTGATAGTGTAAACTACTACACAGTGGGAGTGTTGGAATTTTGAAATTAAATTCTGTGTAAATTTCGGTTTTTTGATTTTTTAAATATGGGAAACTCTCTTGTTATTGAAAATTATACCTTGTTTGGTTGTTGCTCTTATTCACCTTTTTAAAGTAAGTTTGGGCACAATGAATTTTATGATCTTTTACCTTTTAGTTCTTATGGATAGAAACATTCTATTTTACTCTTTATGCGTGTCATTTTTGTTTTCTTTTAGTTTATGTTGTCTAGTGTTCTAGGAATTAAAAAGTAAAGTGTATGATACTATAGGAACTAAAACTAAACTTAAACAGGATGTATAGAGACTATCAAAATGCTTTCATGAATTATGGGATCGAAAGGTATTTAAATATGTTCTGGTATGGAAGACACTAGAAAAGATGTAATCCAAACACAACTATATAAACCTCTCTTAGGTTACAATGACACTGGTTATTCACTTTGAATATTCTGCTCTTTAGACAGCCGCTAGGTTTTTTCTAGTGAGTTTTCCTTACTGGAACAAAATCCAATATTGATGTTTGGAAATGGAGGCATATCATCTCATTGAGTATTTGGTTTTGGCCGTGAAGAAGTTATTGCTTGATGATGTTATATCATATGAATTTGTTTTCTTGGATTGGATCAATGGTGCAAAATCGAGGGGGAGTGGGGGACTATCTTTATTTTTCATTTTTGTGATTTGAACCTTACTACTTTTTTTGGTGGGGGATGAAGGGATATTTTCACACACATTGTGGGTTATCTTTATATCTGGTGCTACTTATATCTATCTATCCTGAGATCATATTTATCATTTTTCAGAGTATATCTCTCTCATGAATCTTCTCAATATTCATCTCCTGTTGGTGAAGTCACTTTTCAATATCCTACCATTGATGAGGCAGTGAACAAATCTCGTGTCATTGAGGCTATTTCTAATCCTTCAGTGCCAAGGCATGCCCTTCAGGCTTTCCATCTGCTTAGCACAAGTCGTGCAGCCCAGGTAAACTGATGGTGTTTTAAGTCAAACATACCATCTATTGAGCAATTTCCTTTCGTGTAGTAACTAAATATGTTTTATAAATAAAACCTTTGGTTCATTTATTGAATTAATATATTTCACTTGTCTTTGGTTTCACCCAGGATGTTGTGGCTTCACTTGCTTGTGACCCAAATGTATGGAATGCAGTCATGGAGAATTCTGCTGTCAGTAGTTTCTTCAAATCACAACACTCGGGTAATCCTAATTCTTATATCATTAATCTTTCCAGGATAGCTTATGAAAACATCTTGTAGTATGTAAAAAATCAGGTTAACCCTTGCTCTCATAACAAGTACTTATTCAATAAGACCTCAAGTTGCTTATCCAGATGAACACCAAGAGTTTTCTTATGAAACTTAATTATTCAATGGGTCTTGTATTTCTAAGAAAAACTTAGATGTAGTTATTCAAGAGTTGTTGCCTTTTTGGTATTATTCTCCAATAAGTATTGGAGTTTCACTTCAATAATCTGCACAATAAAGGTTTACATAAAATGTTAGTTTAGGTTATTCGCCTCAATATTCTGCATAATAAAGCTGTACATTAAATGTTAGCATAGGCTACTAGGTAAAATTCAAATTCTAATCGGAGAATGATACGAAAAAGGAATGTTGTCCTTATTTTTAATGCCTGTCCCATTACTTTTCTCATGCTCTCGTTGTAATGCAAATTGTGCTGCAGTGGCTGATTTTGGAGCAGAGGAAACTGCCGAGGAAGTGGAAAAGTTATCAAGTTTTGCATCTGAATCAGCTGAAACACCTGAAAAAATGGAAGAATCATCTGAGCCTCACCCGGGGAATGGGTCTTTCAATTTCAAGGGTCTTCTAAAGAATGTTAAGCTTACAGTTACTGAATTGCTGAGTAAGGTGTCTGGTTTCCTGCAGAACATATTCCCAACAGCTGATAATCTGAAAGAGAAACCTTCTTGTGATGCTGATGGAAACACTAAAGCAAGTTTTATGGATAGTAAAAAAGTCATGGGAGGAACCTTCGTAGGTTTGGCAGTGCTGGTGATAATGATCATAGTGAACAAGAGAGCTTAAGACTCTTGGAAGCAATATTATAATTTGTCGACTTTTCTAGTAGTTTTCAAAGTTTTTTTTTGGTTCTGCACAGGTATTTTCTATCCATCTAGGAAAACTAATATCGTTCGTAGTACCAACACTTCAACTAAAATGAACAATTTATAAATTTACAATATGTTGCACCCAGTTAGTTGTTTCTGTTATTTGAAAGCCTACCCCACAAGTTAGTATTTTAACTTTTCCTGTATTAATCTTCTTATCACCGTTTCTGTTTTATTTCTGGGGATCCAGTGGTGTGTTGATAAAGTTGGCGTTAAAGTGTTGGTTTGGATCAAACGAAGAATGAGAAATCGTGTTTTGTTCTTTGATTTAAGGTTTGCATTTAAAGTTCGTCACATCGATTTGAGGTTTGAACATATTGTTCAAGCTAACCAATGAGATGAAAGTAGTGGAGTGCAATCCCTGATATTTACAGGGCGAAAAGTTTATACTTTTTCCAACAAGTTTGAACCAGGGATTGCTATATTTTTTTTTAATTTATTATTTTAAAATAATAATTTTAGGAACTTATATATATATATATATATAATTAAATTGTTATATTACTGAATCAATAGGTAATTATCGTGATAAAAATTATTATCCTGTCTTTATTTATTTAATGTAGTAAAAGTACTTGATTTTCATCTAAAATATAAATATTATTGAAAATTTATAATTACAAATTAATATAAGTCACACACATACATTAAAAAAATAATTTCAAACTTATCATGTACTTGATACTAATATTAGAAATATTGGTTAAGAAATTGCTTTTTTTCTTGCTTATGTTAAATAAGAATTACATGACATTATTTTACTAATGCAATATTATCATGTTAGTAAATATGGGAAAATCCAAATCCATTAAATACGATATTGAACAAAATCCTTTAATTAGTCATGCTTCTAGACATTACTTATATAAGTTGTATTGATCGTAATTTTTTTAAAGATGTATTTGATACACATTAAGGTGTATGACAATAAGAACAACACATGATAAATGTTCAAGTTATTAGACAAATATAACTTTTATTCTAAATATTGTTTGATAAATAATAAATAACACAAATAGCATAATGTTTATTAATAAATCTTTTTAATGTTAATTATCATAAAGAATTATTATTATCTCAATGAGAATAATAGGAGTAAAAATAATAATAATAAGATAGTGGTGGATAATTATAATGGATAAATAATAGTAGTTAACGATAATGATAATGATGGTAGACAATAATAATAATATGATAGTATGTGTTTTTATATTTGGAACATAAAATTATCCTATGATTTATTAACTAACAAAATTTAGACATTTATCTTATTCTTTTTATCTTGTAACATGACTTTCTTATAAATCAAATATAGAGTAATATATGTTCAATCGAAAACCATGATTTTTAACAAGTCAAATGGATCGTAAGCTAATAACATTGCTTAACTAAAATTATTGAAGACAAGCTTAAAAATTCAATACATTTATCAAAATCAAACTCAAATTTTGATTGAACAATCACCCGCAATATGCTTTGAGGAAAGGTTGAGAGAAATTTCAATTTTCAAGTGAATTTAAAATACCATTCATTAGAATGACTTGTTTGAATATCAAATTCAAAGAATTTTCAAAATGATGAGAATTTATAATAAATTTTTCTCTTGAACAAAATGAAAGCATTTCAATAACACCCAAATTAAAAAAAATTCAAAAACAAAATTAAATTTGCATATGTTGAAAATTAAACTTTGTCAAACATTGAGTCACAAGAAATTTGAGTTATTTTATTCAAACGAAATATTTTAAATTCCTTCAAATTTTGAAATCTCTAATACAAACACAACCCTAGCCCTAGGTTTCATCCACAAGTTCTGCTGCATCTGAAAGAGGGACTCTACTGCATTGTGTTACTGTTAAAGTTGTTTGTTCCTTAGCTAAAAAAAAAAAAAAAAAAAAAAAAACTGTGCCAATGGAACCTTTTCAATATTCACTAATATTATCATCTGCTGTAACAGGGAAGAATATGTTAGTGAGGGTGTTTGCTAAAAATAAACTGCCATAAGTCCAGAAGTTAATACAAATTGGGAGGCAGAAAATTTGTCAATTATTTATAGTGGACCTACAAAATTTAACGTGTATTTGGCAGCAAAAAAAAATTGCTGAAGCTCAGGTTGTGAGATCAGTGGTATTGGCACGTGGCAATGCAAGCCACTCTAGAAAATTTCAGTGACTGGTTGTTTCTTATTCATGTTTAATAGTCAGTGCTAATGTACATGATGTCTTCCTCTGAAATGTGCATCGACCCTCGATCCCTTCTGTTACTTGGTTGTGTTTTGTCAGGTTGACCACGCTGTGTGATCACAAGAAAAATCCATTTCAGCTATTTTGGAGCAACAGTTTTTAAAGAACATGCAGTTGAAAATGGTGTCATTATTATCAACATGCAATTGAAAATGGTGTCATTATTATCAACATGCAGTTGAAAATTGTGTCATTATTATCAACAAGCAAGGTTTTAGTATTCTTATAAGGGTCTTGGTAATCGGTATCTTGACATTTTAGTTATAGTTAAGTGTGTTATTACTCTTTTCAATAAAAACTTTCTACTTTTATTTCTTTAACCAGTAGTCTAACCTTAGCATTTTCCATTTTTATAATACCTGCTTTGCAGTTTTTCTCATTTTTACACTAATGTTCTGATTAGATTAAAAGTGAAATGGAGAACTAAGAAATAAAAAGATAGAAGAGAGAAATAGAGTAGAAAATATGAATTATTTGGATCGACAAACAAAAATGAAAACAAGATTTTATTTATTTATACTGTTTATTTTTTTCTTAAAATAAAATTATTCATTATTCTGATGTTATAAAAAAATTATTTATTTTCTAAGAAGTAAAACAAAAATATAATTCTTTTTAGCCTTAAATATGTTTTAAGTTCTTCAAATTTATAGTAAATTTATTTTTAGCCTCTCAAATTTAAAACTATTTTTTATAGCTTCTGTAATTTTAAAAAATATTATTTTAGTCCTTCAAGTCACTAATAATAGATGAAAGTGATATATTGAGATAATTAGACAACATCAACTGAGTTTAATATTATGTTTTCACTAATAAAAACACTAGTATGTAGATTTTATGTGACAATATTTGACAAATTTCCTAAATAAAAATTAAGTATAAAGACAAACAAGAATTTTTGAAATTATATAAACTAAAAAAATCAATTTTAAATTTGAGGAACTAAATACAAATTTATCTTAAATTTGAGGGATTAAAAACATATTTAAGTTTTCTTTTTTACTATAGTATTTTTTCTCTTCTTAATTTTTTTGTAAGTGGGAAACAAAAACTATTTCTCTCAAAATCAATAAACACTCCTCTCCCTTTTGGGTCCTTTTATATGCAAGACCCATTAAATACTTTTTCCATTTCATTTTCCACTCGAATAAACTGAATAAATTTGCTATTTTCATCTTATATCACTCTTCTCCATTTCCTTCCTCAAACATGTGACCTTATCAACATGAAGCAGAATTTAAGTGCTTGTTGCTGACCTTTCTCAATACAAATGACATGTATAAATATGCTGCCTCCCATTCATCAGCTGAGAGTGTACCTGATACAGAAATATACACATTACTAGGATTACCACTAACCAAGAGAGGTAAAAATGAGGTTTTACATAAAAAATGACAAGGAAAAGCAATGTTCAATGCGATTTAATGGAAATTGAAAAGATATAGTGTAGGCACAAAGGGTTACTTTGATCTTGGTTGCCATCTCCCAATGCACCAAGTCTTCGCATGAGCTCCACAAATTCCGGTTTCTTCATATACTCGTGCACAAATTCATGTGAGTTCTTCGCAAAAACAAGCTCAAAATCATACTGTAAACAGTAAGTTTAAATGAGTAATCTAGAAGAACAAGCCTTAAAAATCCAACACTTATCTTAGAAAAGCTAGTAATTTGGCATTGTTTCAGAGACAGTTATATATACCTCTTCAGCTAATGCCTTGAATACGTGGAAGGGGACAATCCATTCAGGACAATCAACAGCATCCTGCAACAAGACATCGTCTTAAATGTCAACATAGGTATTAACAGTGTGCAACTGTTAAAGGGGTCTAACTAAGAGACATGGTCATTGAATGATAACTTCATAACATTAGTTACACAAAGGTTCTCTATGTTTATGCATGACCAAAGTCATACATCTCTTAGTAATTTGACAGGGAAACTCCAAATCAGCCCTGTGTTATGGGGGAACAACTACTTCATGTTTAGGAAAAGAAGATTAAAAAGAAATGATACCTCCAAATGGAACGTGTACTTTATTCCAAAAGGGCTGGAAGATTTAAATTTCTGAATCACAAAAGGGAGAACTTCCGGTAAGTAGAATCACAAAATCATTTCCAGGTTCCAAGCATTAACAATGAAAAGATGAACAAACAGGATCAGGAAAACAAAATTACCTTTTCAGAAAATTCTTCATCAAAACGCACCCAATAGACACTGTTACCAAAAGTTAATCCTTCAGCTGCAAAATCACAGTGAAATTAGCATCCCCAATCAATATTGACAAAAAGGATCCGTCATACCCAAAAATATTTCCACTTATATGCAGCATAGGAGTCTTTCATCCTCTATTTTACCAAAAGAGGGGTAAATAAATACACAACAGCATTTTCTTTTGTTTATTACTAGTATTTTAGCCCATGCTATTAAAGATAAATGTTTACTTATAGATAAAATTAAAAATATATAATAAATATTTTTAATATACAAATTATATTATAATTAAAGTTCATAACAATTAACAAATAGAGATCTTTGAATAAGTAAATTATATTTTGGAAAATGAATTATTTAAATTGTGATATAAGGTTATTTCTAACTATTGACAATTTCTTTTTTTAAAAAAATGAAATTCTTAGATATATAGATAAAAAATAGTAGATTGAAAAGAAAAAGTGATTAAGGAGATCAATTATAAGATTAAGATAAAAGGAGAGTAGTTTGAAATGGTTAAGAGAATATTTTTGGCTAGTTGTGGGGTAGTGTGTGAAATGCACATATAAAGGAGAGAAGAAAGGGAATATTGAGAAAGTATATTGGAAATAATGGGGAGAGCGACCCAAATTTGTGTATTCTAACTGATAACATAGGAATAAATTAATAATAAAAAAAATTAAGACAGCACAAATGACACAACAACACTTCTAAGCCAG